ACAGGCAACGAGAGGTCTTGGGGAAAGGTGCAGGGAAGTGTCCGGAGGCCCCATTCTGGGTCAGAAGACCACTTGGCTAATGGCAGGGCTTTTTCCAGGGAAAGAGATGAATCTTGAAACAGAAAACCAGGCAGGATGGCAGGCCTGTTAGTGGAGATGCTGAGCATCCAGCTGGATGTGCCTCTATCCCCATCAGGCCTTGCCTGGGGACACGGCTTCATTGGACCAGTGATACTGGCTGGTGAGGCCAGCACGCTGTCACTCACTCCACTCAGGAGAGCTCATAGTTCCAGCCACCGTGAGTGGGTGAGCTAAATTGCAGTGGACATTTCTGAATCACCATCACCACCTCCCAGTGCCCCAGAGAGCAGGGAGTGATGCTGTTAATGGAAGGAGGCAGGGGCAAAATCCATCACCTGCTTTAACTTCTTCATTCACCTCCTCACCTTAAAAGCACTCAGAGTTCGTTCTGCAAGCCTGGGGACCTCGCCGGGACTGCTGGGAGCTTTCACGGCTGGACACGACCACCTCATCAGGGTTGAAGCCCCGAGTCACCTACACGCTGCTTGACTTTAACCATGAGAGGGAAGGGGCTGCATCTTCAGTGATCGAATTCAGTCACATGCAATTACAAACTCAATAGAAAAACTGCATAAAGATCCAGACGCCATCCCTTCTCTTTTTGTGTCTATCATCTCGTGGGAAAGAGCAGATGGGACGGAGCTGGAAATGAATTGGAACTGAAACCAATGCCTGGATTCCAATTTCCAACCACTAATCATGTAACTTTGGATAGGTCCTTGAATATGCTAAATAAGATTGCAGCATTTATTAAGAATGAAAAAAATGAAACAAGTGAAATAAAGTGGTGGCTAGTGTAATAAAGCAAGAAAAAGAATTAAAAGGCATGTGTATTGGAAAGAAGTAAAACTGTCCTTATTCACAGACAACATGATTGTCTATGTAAAAAACCCAGCAGAATCTGTAGAAAAAACAACTTCTAGAACTAATCAGTAGGTTTAACAAAATTGGAGGATTCAAGGACAACACTTAAGACTCATATTTTTATATACTGGCAAACAATAATTAGAAATCAGTATTTAAAAAATTACAAAACCTCAAAAATATTTAGGTGTGAATCTAATAAAACAGTAAAAGTTTTGGTGTCAAAACTATAAAATGCCAATGAAAGAAATTAAAATTAATCTAAATAAGTGGAGACACACACCATATTGATAGTTAGAAGACTCAAGATGGTTGACATGTCAGTTTTCCCCAAACTGACATGTGGATTTAACACACTTCCAGTGAAATCCTGATAGGATTTTTTTTGTAGATCTTGGAAAGCTGACTCTAAATGTATATGATGAAGCAAAAGAGAACCGCCAAAACAATTTTGAAAAACAAGAATGAAATTAAACGGCGAGTACTGCCTGATTTTAAGACATCTTTTAAAGCTACGGTAATCAAAACACTGATAACTGGTAAACTCATAGACATGTTGATCAATGGAACCAGAGAGTCCGGAAATAGACCCACCAAAATATAAACAATAGACTTGTTAAAGACTTTATTTTTTTTAGAACAGTTTTAGGTTTACACCAAAATTGAGAAGGAATACAGAGATTCCCTATATACCTCTTGCCCCACTCCCCCACCACACACACAGCCTTCCCCATTATCAACCACTGACTGGGACAGCTTTTAATGAAGGATGAACCTACATTGGCACACCACAATCACCAAAATTCTACAGTTTACCTCAGGATTCATTCTTGGTGTTGTATATTCTATGGTTTAGACAAATATGTGATGACATGTATCCATCATTATAATATCATACAGAGTATTTTCACTGCCTTAAAATCCTCCCTGCTCTGCCTCTTCATCTCCCCAACCTCAATCCCCTGGCAACCACTGTTCTTTTTACTGTCTGTAAGACTTTGCCTTTTCCAGAGTATCATATTGTTGAAATCATACAGTAAACAGCCTTTTCAGATTGACTTCTCTCACTTAAGAATATGCATGTAAGATTCTTCTATGTCTTTTCATGGCTACATAGCTCATTTATTTTCACTGAATAGTGTTCTGTTGTCTGGGTGTGCCCCAGCTTATTTATCCATTCACCTACTGAAGGACATGTTGTTTGCTTCCAGGTTTTGGCATTTATGAATAAAGCAGCATTAGACATTCAGTCACAGGTTTTTGTGTGGACATATGTTTTCAGCTCTTTTGGGCAAATACCAAGGAGTGTGATTGCTGAATTTCATGGTAAGAGTATATATGATTTTATAAGAAACCACCAAAGTGTCTTCCAAAGTAGCTGCACCATTTTGTATTAATACCAGCAACGAAGGAGAGCGCCTGTTGCTCCACTTCCTCACCAGTATTTGGGATTGCCAGTGTTGTGGATTTTGATGGTTCTAACAGGTGTACAGTGATATCTCCTTGTTGTCTTAAGTTACATTTCTTATTTCCCTGATGACATATGATTTCAGGCACCTTTCCATGTTCTTATCTGTCATTTGTGTATCTTCTTTGATGAAGTGTCTGTTAAAGTCAAGTCTTTGGCCCATTTTTTAATTGGGTTGTTTGTTTCCTTATGGCTGAGTTTTAAGAGTTCTTCATATATTTTGAATAACTCCTTTATCAGTTCTACCTTTTGCAAATCTCTTCTCCCAGTCTGTGGCTTGTCATCCTATTCTCTTGACATCATCTTTAGCAGAGCAGAATTTATCTTTAATGAAGTCCAGCTTATCCATTATTTCTTTCATGGATTGTGCTTTGGTGTTACACCAAAAAGTTGTTGTTATACCTAAGGTCATTTAGGTTTTCTACTATGTTATCTGCTAGGAAATTTATGGTTTTACTTTTTAAATTTAGGTCTATGATCCATGTTGAGTTGACTTTTGTCAAGGGCATAAGGTCTATGTCTAGACTTTTTATTTTTGCCTGTGGATGCCCAGGGGTCCCAGCACCATCTGTTGAAAAGACTATCCTTTCTCCATTGTATTGTTTTTGGTCCTTTGTCAAAGACCAGCTGACTGTCTTTGTGTGGGTCTGTCCGGAGGCTTTATAATCTGTTCCACCGGTATCTTTGTTCTTTCACCGGAACCACACTGTGTTGATTACTGTGACTTTACAGCAAGTCTTAAAGTCAGGAAGTGTCAGTTCACCAACTCTGCTCTTCTCCTTCAGTACTGATTGTCTGTGCTGGGTCTTTTGCCTCTCCACATAGACTTTAGTTTGTCAATATCCACAAAATATCTTGCTGTGATTTTATTTGGGATTGCATTGAGTTGATACATCAAGTTGGGAAGAACTGACAGCTGGACAATATTGAATCTTCGTATCCATGAACATGAAATATATTTCCATTTATTGAACTCTGACTTAATCCACCAGTTTTGCAGTTTTAATCATTTTTTTACAAGTTTTATTAGATTTATACCTAGATACTCAGTTTTTCGGTGCCAATGTAAATGATACTGTGTTTTTAATTTCAAATTCTACCTGTTAATAACTAGTATGTAAGAAAGCAATTGTAACTTTTCTATAATCACTTATTAGTTCCAGGAGGATACTTTTCAATTAATTCTTTTGGATTTTCTGCATAGATCGTCATGCCGTCTGCAAAGACCTTTTTATTTCTTCCTTCTCGCAATGTGTACATTTTATTCCTTTTTCCTACTTTATTGCGTTAGCAAGGATATCCAGTCCAGTGTTGAAAGGGAGTGGTGAGAGGAGACCTCCTTGCCTAGTATGTGATCTTATTGGGAAAGTTTCAGATTTCTCACTACCAAGTATTACTTTAGCCTTAGGGATTTTGTAGACGTTCTTAATCAGCTTGAGGGGGTTCCTCGCTACTCCTAGTTTACTGAGAATTTTTATCACGAAAGCATATCGGAGTTTGTCAAATGCTTTTATTGCATCTATTGAATGATCATGTGATTTTTCTTTTTCAGCCTGTTGATATGTTGGGTTACATGTATGATTCTGCGTGTTGACCCAGCCTCACATACCTGGGATAAATCCCACTTGGTTGTGGTGTATATTTTTATACTTTTCTCGATTCTATTTGCTAATATTTTGTTGAGAATTTTTGCTTCTATTTTTATAAAAGGTATTTCTCTGTAATTTTCTTTTCTTGCAACGTCTTCACCTGGTTTTGGTATTAGGATAATGCTGCTTCAGAATGAGTTAGGAAGTATTCCTTCTGCTTTATCCTCTGGAAAAGATTATAGAGGATTGGTATAATTTCCTCCTTTAAAGTTTCATAGCATTTACCAGTGAACCCACCTGGGAAGTCGATTGATTTTTGACCAAGGTACGAAGGCAATTCAGTAGAGAAAGGATAGTTTTTCAACAGTTGTACATTCACATGCAAAAATATTAATTTCAATATATATCCCATACATTATACAAAAACTAACTCAATATAGTTTACAGCTTTAAATATAAAGTACAAAATTATAAGGCTTTTAGAAAAAAAAACACTGGAAAAATAATCACGACTTTAGGTTAGGCTGAGCTTTCAGATAATACTCAAAGAAGAGAGTTAAAGGCTAGGCCACAAGCTGGGGTAGAACACATGATGCGCCATCGGAATGAGATGGTAAGAAAGCAAGCAACTCATTCAAGCAATGAGCAAAGAGTTTGAAAAGGCACTTCACCAGAGAAAACACACAAATGGCAAACAGGCCCCTGAAAGGATGCGCAACATCATTAGCCAGCAGAGAAATGCAAATCAAACCCACGAACTATAAACCTATCAGAGTAGGAAAAAAATAAAGAAAAACGTTGACAATACCAAGCGCTGTAGAACACAAGGCACCCAGGACTCTGAGACGTTGCTGGGGTAAGTGCAAAATCGCGTGGCCCCTCTGGAACGGCTGGCAGTCTCTTACAAAGCTTAATATACACTTGCATATGAACCGGCCATCTTGCTTCCAGATTTTTCTCAAAAGAAAGGAAAACAGAAGTTCCCATTGAAACCTATATGCGGATATTTGCAGCAGTTTTATTTCTAATCACTGAAAACTGAGACTGACACAAATTAACTTTCAGTGGGTGAATGGATGAAGCAGATGAGGTCCATTCATGCAGTGGAATACCGCTCGGCAATAAAAAAGGGTAAGTTATTGATACATCCAACATGGTTGAAAGTCAAAGGCACCACACTGGGTTGAAGAGGCAATTCTCCACAGGTTACGTATGACATGGTTCCATGGATGCGGCATTCTCACAAAAGTTAAACTATAAGGATTAAGAACTTACCAGTAGGTGTGTGGAGGATCTGACTACTACAGGACAACAGGAGGAAATTTGGGGGCTGGGGAGAAGGTGATAGAACTGTCGTGATATCCTGATTGAGGTGTTGGTTACATGACTTCGTATATATGAAAACTCATAGACATACACTAAATGCCCCCCAGATTTAACTTTGCTGTATGTCAATTTAAATATTTGCAAAATTAAAATTGATAATAATAACAATAATATGCTTCACCTGTCACGCATGGATCCATCAATATCTTAAAGCACAAACAAATGGAAGATGCTGTTATAAAAGTAAGCATCTTAGTCTCACCCTGGCTTGGCAAACCCCAATATTTAAGATGTCCAAGAAATTTTTCAGAAGCGAAGCCCCCTGATTCACCATAGTTAGGAATAGAATTTCTTGTGACTTGAATCCAATGGTGGTCTGGTGAACCTGGATTCACCAGAAACAGAGATGCCCCCAGGCGGCTGGACCTGCCCACTTGGTCTGCCTTAGAGGGGAGTGGGACACTTTCATGGGCTGAGTTGCTTCCCCCGAAATTCTGCCTCTTAAACCCAGAACCTCAGGATGTGACTGCATTTGGAGACAGAGTCTGTATAGTAGTAATGAACTTAAAAAGAGGCCATTATGGTGGGCCTTAATCCAATATGACCCAAGTCCTTATAAAAAGAAGAAATTAGGAGGCAGACACATACACAGGAAGACCATGTGAAAACAGAGGGAGAGGACGGCCATCCACAAGCCAAGGAGAGAGACTTCAGGAAAAAGCAACCCTGCTGACAGCCTGGTCTTGGCTTACAGACACCAGAGTTTTGAGAAAATAAATTTCTGTCATTTAAGCTGCCCAGCCAGTGGGATTTTGCGGCCGTAGCCCGAGTGAACACACACAGGCATCTCCCAGTGGCCCACGAAGTCGTCAGCAGCCCCACACCTCCCACAGCCAAGGGACGCGAAGGGGTTAAGTAAAACATGGATTGTAAAATCAGATCAGGTCTCCACTGGCTGCTTAAAAGTTGCATCTCTAGATTTTGCATGAATTTTTAATTTTAGGTGACACCTTTGACTAGAAGTGACAGTGGAGCAGATCATTTGCGTAATTACCACCGCAATCACGGAGGAGAGTGCATCTCTCAAAAGCACAGAAAACATGAACTGGATCTGGTGCTGAACGAGGCTGGTAGTGGAGATGCCAGAGCCTCTGGGCTCCGTGGGAGCCTCACCATCTTGATAGCAAGAGGGCATTTGCCTTGCCCTGTTTTAGGGAAAATGCAATATTCATTCTCAGGGAAAAGCAGCATTTGCTTCAGAAACATGTTTTACTGGGATTAGAGAGAGAGAAGGAAAGCTCCAACTTGAAGGTGTCAAGTAACTGGAATTCAGACAATAGATGGAAGCGAATCACAGCTGTGGTTCACGGGTCTGCACTTCCCGGGGAAAGTGACGGTGTCCTCTGCAGTCGCAAGATGCTGGGTTTGGCTTGCTTCCCACAGACGGGAGATCCAAGGCATGTTAGTGACTCCAGGCAGAGCAGTTAAGCTGGCAATCTGTCCGTGCAGGAGAGGCCGGATAAAAAGCTCTAAAGTGACTCCGTTTAGAAGGTGCAGGAGTCGAACCGTTTGTCGATTTCCAGAGCTGAAAGCAGCCTGGGAAAGGAGCAGCCGGGGAAGCGGAGGGGGAGCTGGGCAGGCGCACCGCGGGGTGCGGGCTGAGGGCACGGCGTCCCCCGCCCCTCAGACCGGGGGCATAGACCTGCCTCCAGCTTCAGCCACTCTGGAGATGGAGGAGAAGTGTCTGCTGAGGATTTTTGGGATACTGATAACAGCGCTGAAAGGGGCCTATTCCTGGAACACTGCTCCTGTTGACCAGCTAAAGTTTAAGAGCAGATGTGATTGCCTGTGGGACCGTCACAGCTAGTCAGCCTCAGGGAAGCAAAGCACAGCCCTTGAAAATTAGAGACGAGCTCCTTCACCCTCGGAAGGATCAATCGCCTGTTGTCTACGCTGTTACTCTCAACATTGCGCAGCCTCCTGTCACCCCGTGCGTCCACGCTGTCACCAGGGAACCTGGGAGCCAGCAGCTCCCAACTCTACTTGTGACCGTGCTGTTTTAGAGGGAAAAATTATTCAACAGGTGGAATTACCTAGAGGTCTCCTTTGCCAGATTTTGATGGCCATAACCTAAATTCAGTTTCAAATTGGAAGGCTTGGGGATCGTACTTCAGATCTTGCCTTGCATGCCCTAAATGCTGTTACTTAGGACGGAAGCGGCCATTTTCAAGGTCTGGGAGGACCGATGTGGGACAGTGACCTGGGTACCAAGTTCCTGGTGGAGATGAGCTCTCCTCCCAGGCCACAGGCAAGGAGGTCACCTGGGCCGGTAGACTGTCTGTTTGTGAAGGACCATCCTGCAAACAAAGTGCCAAGTGCCTGGGGGTTTTCTTCCTCCCGGCATATTTAGCTCAAACCTTTCCCTGTGATTTTCCTGACTAACTACAACTCGAGTGGAAATGACAAACACCTTGCTGGCCTCTAGAAACAGACGTTTTGCTGGAGAACTCAAGGAGATGACAGCGGCATAGTCTTGGCGTCCTAAATAGGGTCTCCGGTAGCTGGAAGGAGTCTACCTGGGTGTGGAGGTTGCTGGCTTACTGAAATCCCACTTCCCCTTTGCAAAGAGTCCCTCGGGGCATGCCTCTTTTACATAAAATATTCATTTAAAACGCACACATTGTGGTAGGAAGGAGAAACTCAAGGTTCAGGATGCACTGGGTTCCTCTTTGTGTGTGAGGATCGGGTGGAGAGACCAAAGCCCAGCAAGGTCCGGGCTGGATCTCCAGTCCCAGGAGCCATTTCTCTCCAGGCTGCGATTTCCAGGCAGAATGGTTCAGGCAAAGACGAGACTCTCCCCAGTGACATCTCAAAGGGTACGAAAAGGAAAAAGCCCCCAGATTGCAACTCCAGCCACACCAGCGGCCCAGCTGCAAGTTCTCCTGCAGGCAAGTGTGCTTCGTTTCCTTTCCTTTTCTGCCTGGAGTTCAACAGTTCATGGAGGGAAGAGCGCACGAGACAAGATGCTGCTCGGGGGGTTAAACGCCATTTCCTGATTCATCCAGAACGTCAGGGTCCGCTGATCTGACGCCTGCGAGGGCTCTTCCTGGGAAGGGAGACCAAACATTTCACACAAAGGAAACAAAAGGCAGGTTCATGTGTTTAATAGGAAGGGAAACAGCCTGGGGCATTAGATACTCTGGGAAAAAAAATCAAGGTGCCACAGGACCGATTGTTAAAGATTAAATAATAGACAGGAAAACGGTATTCGCAATTACTTACGCTCTGTCCGTAGTCATTCATGAGGTGAGGGCAGTGATTGCTCCTCCGACAACAGATGTTTTTAAAGGGTTCTTTTGGAAATGAGAGACACTGACAGACTGAGAGACAGCAAACTCCCGTCTCTGGGAAAGGGACTCGGGGGCTGACCAGCAAGGAGGCAGCACATCTGACCCTGGTGGCAGGCAGAGTCCTCGAGGCGTTAATAAGAGATGAGGTCACAAAACATCTGGAGAAATCAACCAGGCAGGCTGGCTGGTAAAGAGAGATGGCGCAGAAGGCGGGGCCGGCCCGGGCCTGGCCTTGTCCCGATCCGCTCTAGGCCCCTCCCTGGGCGGATCTGGGACAGGCCCGCTGAGCACATTACTTCCCGGTCCAGGACTGTGCGGAGGGCAGTTTGCTAGTGATGGGAGGAAGCCCTTCCCCAGAAGGACGAGGAGGGGACGCTGGGCTCAGCCCAAAGCTTGGGCCGGAAGCACAGAAACAGCTGGGCTCTGACAAAACCCACGTGCCAGGGGCTCTCGGTCAGGGCTCGTCTCGTTTTGAGGGACAGAAACCTGAGTCAAACAACTCTTGCAAAACGCGACCGTGTTCGTTCACATGGCAGGGCGGGAACCTGGGGTTAGTCTCCTGGATGAGGAAACTGCGGACCAGGGTCCCCGGGGCTGGGACAGAGGGCTCTAGAAACCAGGCTTCCTCTCTCTTTCTTTCTCACGCTTTCTCCCCCTCACAGCTGCTTTTCATCTCTTTTTCGGTCTCCCTTTGGCTTCATTCTGCAGACAGACAGACAGACAGGCTGCACACATCAGCAAGGCAGCCCAGAAGAGCCTTGACCTCACGTCCGCAGAGCCCGGCAGAGAGAGACGTTCTCGCCCGCAGCGCGCAGGTGTCGGCTGCCAGGCGGGCTGCCTGTGGTCGCCCGCGGTCACCCGTGGGCCCTTCTGGGTCACGTGTCCACTGTTCAGACCAAGCGCTTTCCTCAGACGGTGGGGCCCTGGGATTGTTGGTCCCCAGAGAGGTACCTGATCGAAGTGGGAGCAACCCTCGGAGTAAGGAAGGGGGCTGAGTGCCGGGCCAACACAGAGCAGTCCATGTTCGCACGGTGTTTACAGAGTGCCCGTGTCTCTTTCTGCAGATCCTGAAGGTGCGTCAAGCAGTTTAAAGTGGGTTAGGACCATAAATGCTCCGATGGTCACTGTAGATTACTGTCAGCACAAAACAAGATCTTCCCAGAAGAACTTACAGTTTGCTTGGAGACTGGCTGGAGGGAACATCAGGGCAATATGTCTGCATTTGTGGCTCCACGTGTGAGTCCTTCACACACGCAATCCTTCATCCATAGTGCCTTCCTTAGCACTGAGAGGTGGGCTGCTGTGTCACCCCAGTTCGCTGCTGGGCAAACATGGTGCACACTGCACGGGACCTGAATTTGTGCATATAGGGGGCAGGGCAACCTGGGTGCGCACCCGCCACCCTGGAGCTAATGGACCACACAACTGGCTTCACATCTGCCGTCACTGCAGGTCTGCGCTGAGGGGCACGAGGACCTCTGAAGGCAGAGGATGCCATAACTAAGAGCTC